CAATTTACAAAGCACACAACTCAACAACAACACTCTAACAATTTCATATTCTCAACAACAAGCTCAATATTCATCAATAACAAGTTCCACAGAAAGGCACTCACAAGATCAACAACACACAAGATCAAGTTCATCAATATTGATAAATTAAAAATGTGCAATGCAATGAAATGCAATGTCAAGTATAGTGATGCATGCCTGACCTAACGATACACACCCACTGTCTCTCCGTCCGGGACCCATGGGGGACATATCTGTCGATGCATTCATCGCGGCGTGCGACACGTTCCTCGATAATAGAATCCATCGCGGCGTGCGATATGTCCCTTGAAATATAGTATCCGTCGCTGCGCGCGACACGTCCTTCGAAATGGTACATCCTCTTTAATTTCTTACTCTTTCCCAATTCACATAACACATGTCACAATCATGTCTCAGAACAATGCAAATGACATGTTCACACAAATAATGAAGAGATGACCATTTTCATAATAATGCACAATTCACAACAACACAATCGTGATACAACATCAACAATGAGTCAACAAGTCTTTCAAACCATTATCAACACATCACACACCAACAATTAGTCACATTGCCTTTTATTACCCCTTTTCATCATTAGAATTAATCGATATGGACAAGTCAACCCATCACCAAGTCTCATTACCCCCAAACACATATTACAAGGAAATACACGAATTTCATACACTTCACAAAGGTTTAGAAATCCACTTGCCTCAATTAATCAACAATTCACTCCGGGACTTGAGCCTTTCTTTTTGCGTTGAGCTTCCAAATTAATGCAATCTATTCACGTAAATAATCACAGTAAGATTTCTAACCCAACAACGCCCATATTATAATATGTCTAGCCTAGACTCAAAAACTCACCCAAATCTATAATCAAGTTCCTAAGTTTCAAGCAATTTCTTTCCAATATCATAAATCTAAGGGTATTCACATAATACCATACACCTAACAGTTAATTACATTACCAATATATTAAAACTTGAATCATAATCTATCTATATATAAAAGGAGAAGAAAAAATGACACATGTCAATACCACAATTTTTTGAAATTTTAAATGTTAAATAATTTTAAATAATCAATAATAAATAATTATTTAAATAAATATTGAAACATGTCAATAATTACAATTAAACCCATTTATGTGATTGTACGGTAGTTACACAACATTTTAAATAAAGAAAAATAAATTATTAGTCAATACCACAATTTTAGAATATTTTAGATTTAGACCCATTTACTTATACGGTAACTAAATATAATTTTAAATAATCATTTTTTATAAATCATTTAATCAAGGAAAATTTGATTCACATTTAACATTTTTTATAGACTCACTTTTTATAAATGCATATATTTTACGTAAGGAGTCTAAATATATCAGTATTTTGTATTTAAAATTTATACCAAAAATAAATATATTTTTACAGATAAACACAAATAAGGCAGTTTTATAACTCCTTAAGATAACTTCTCAATAACCATCCACTAAACAAGGAATTTTAAACTACATTACTCACTACATCTTTAAAGTCACGTACTATATATAGACATTTTTTTTTTAAAGTTTAATGTGGACCAAGTCCACAACTTTATTAAAAAACATAAATTCAATACCAATTGGGTCCAAAAGTGGCCCGATCGGAAACAACAAAACAAAGTAAACTACAGGAAGAAGAAACCAAACTAACAGAAAAGGAAATAAACTCTAATGTTTGGAAAAAAATTCAGCTTCTCCGATGTGACAGTCGCCGGAGAATCCTCCCAAAGTGACGATCAATCCTTCCAAATACTCACCTCCTCTTGATATGAGCTCTGTTCGATATCGATCCAGGTATGGGTTGCAATCACTTCCACATCAACAAATCTCACTGATATAATGATTCAAATACCTTTGAAGACTTCTTCTACCTGAATTTTATCGATCTGAGCTAGATCTCAAGTTATGCGCAAGAATTTTGGGGACACACTTCAGTCACCATCCAGATTTGAAGACAAGAGCTATTGAGATAAGTTTTACCTTTATAATTTAATTACTCATCTTTGAGATATGTTTTGATACTCGGTCCTTGATTATTCTCCTCAACAGGTTGAACCCCACCGAGATTAATACCACTGTTTAAGTCGACTAATCTCCGACCTTGCATCGCTCACCCTTTTCCAGGAGACTAAGGTAATCTTTCACCTTCTTATTTTAGTCCTCTCCTGATTTGCTTTGAACTGATGTGGTGCTCCTTTTTCTTCTTTTTTTCTTTTTTAAGCACCATTATAATGTTTGTTTTGAACTTTTCGGATCCTCAAATTAGGAGTCTTTTCTTTGTCTTGTTGCAAAATAGCTTTGGCATGTTGTGGTAGTTCCTGCATATTTCGATATTGTTGTATCTCTGTACCTGCAAAATGAGCAAACGACTTAGTTAAAGCATCAGCGAGGCTATTCCCTTCTCTGAGGACGTGAACCACCTCCACCCCATGACTCTTTATCATTGTCTGAATGTGTTTGATATCCCAAGCTATCTGCCATGGGACCTCCCATACTCCATGTATAACTTTTTGAGCCACCAGTGAGTCTGGCTCAATTATCAAGGGAAGGAAATTTCCTTGATTGCAGTACTGTAACCCTTCCTTAATTGCCATGACCTCTGCCTCCAAAATAGATGTAGTATTAATTCTTCTAGATTCTGCATATTTCAAATCTCCTTGTATATCTCTAATACAAAAGGCTATACACCCAACTCTTGATTCAAGCTGATAAGAAGCATCAGTATTGCATTTATATACTCCCATGAGGGGATGACTCTCACCACCATAGTTTTTGTCAATGGAGCTTATCCTTCAAAATATTTGACAATTAAGGGCCAGTTTTGAGGGACATTCTTTAACCATGGATATCAACTCTTAGTAAATAAGTAGATGTTTCTATGTATCTCTACAATCATTGAGGTTGTTGACATATTTCCACCATGCTTCATCACATTCCCCCTCTTCCAAATTTCCCAAGTTATGAAAGCAGGAACTACTTTAAACAATTGCTTCAATTTAGGACTACGTACCATCAGCTTTCCACCAATCTTCCATAATCTGTTGAAGCTGATTAATTGGAAATGATAACCCTGCAGCATTTCTAAAAGTTTTCCAAACAGATTGAGCACTAGGACAATAGACAAATAGATGAGAGAAAGTTTCAGGAGCACTATTATTGCAGCAGCTACAATCAACCCTCTCAACTATGTTCCTTCTAATTAAGACCTCCCCAATAGGAATCCTTCTAAACCATAATCTCCACATAAAAAAGGATACCTTAAAATGCAAACCTTTCTCCCAAATATTGGAGATATTTTCTATATACTCTCCTCTACTTCTGCATAATTCCCAGGCTGAGCTAATTTTGAATTTACCATCACTACTAGTCATTCACCATGCTTTATCTCTTCCTTCAGTATTAGTAAAGCTTCCTAAGGTATTGCATATGTGATTGCATATATCCTCATTGAAATTACTTTCCAGTGCATTAATCTTCCATCCATCTTCAACATATAGTTCCTTGACATCTTCCAGTTGACTTTGGTTATGTGATATAAGCATCAAAAAATGCAAAGCACCCAGTTGTGTCCAGTTATTAAACCACACACTAGTATGTCATTCTCTAGGTTCCCACCAGATCTCTTGATCAAAGAAATCCCTAGCTTGTAACATAGCTTTCCAAACTTGAGATCCTTTTTTCCAGTCCACCAATTGTGGCCTTTGTCTTTTACAATACTTATTCCACATAAAATTTGTCCACATGGTATTTTTGGTTCTAAAATTCCACCACAACTTGGCAAGTAAAGATTTGGAGACATCAAATAAAGATCTAAAACCTAAACCTCCTTCCTCCTTGGGCAGACAAATATCCCCCCCATGCTACCCAATGAGTGGCTATTCCTTGTTCTTTAGAATTCCACAAGAATTTTGCAAAAATCTTATGAATATCATCAATGACACATTTAGGAGGCGTGATAGCTGAGAGGAGGCAGATAGGAATACTCTGCAATACGTGGTTAATCAACACTGATTTGCCCCCATAAGATAGAAGTTTCCCTTTCCACATTTCGAGTTTATTTTGAATCTTCTTGATGAGCTCTTTGAAATGAATCTTCTTCTTCTTAGCATGACCAATAGGACAACCCAAATAAGTTAAAGGAAAACTCCATTTGCAGAAACCTGTGATTTCCTCCGCCATTTGAACAGAGTTAAGAGCAACTTTGTTAAACAAGTAAAATACACTTTTTTCTTTGTTTATAAGTTGTCCTGATTGATGTTCATACATTTTCAATGTGTGCATTATCAACTGGAGAGAACTCCTATCAGTAGAGGCAAAAATAATTGTATCATCAGCATAAGATAAGTGATTCAACTGTTCACTCCATTTAGAAAGGCCATATCCTTTATATTCCTCTTCTAGGAATAGATGATTTAGAGTTCTCGTTAATACCTCAACAGTAAGTATAAACAAAGCAGGAGACAAAGGATCTCCTTGTTTAACCCCTCTTGATGAATGGAAAAAATCATGTGCTTGACAATTAATCAATACAAAGTACCAATTATTAGCAATAATTCTCCAAATCATGTCAAGCATCATAGAATTAAAACCCATTTTTTCCATTACTTTAATCAAAAATCTCCAATCAACCTTGTCATACGCCTTTGCCATGTCAAGCTTGATAATCACATTATCTGGTTTGCCCCTCAACCTAATATCAGTAACAAATTCTTGAGCCATCAATACATTTTCATTAATATTTCTTCCTTTGACAAATTCAGATTGATTCTGGGATATCAATCTAGGAAACAACACCTCCATTCTATCATGCACCAATCTAGATATGATTTTATTAAGGAAATTACTCAAGCTAATAGGTCTAAGATCAGAAAAGGATTGAGGAAAATCCTTTTTAGGTAATAGCACCAAGTTAGTATGAGTAATAGACTTAGGTAAAGTAGCTCCTTTGAAGAAAGCCTGAAACTACTTTTATCACATCTAAACCAACAGTGTCCCAACAGTTTTGATAAAAACAACCAGAAAAATCATCTGGTCCACAAGAGCTTTCTGCATTTAACTCAAATACTAACCTCTTGATCTCAGCCTCATCAGGTAACTTGGTCAATATATCATTTTCCTTTTGTGAGATTATAGGATTAATATGCATTAGTAGAGATAGGTCAGAATGATTAACCCCTGCAGTAAATTATTTGGTAAAAAATTAACCCCTTCTTCTGCAATCGCATTTTTTGATTCATCCCATGAGCTATCAGATTTAATTATTCTCCTCATGTAAGCCTCTTTCTTCTTCCTCTCACTAAACTGTGAAAAAAATTTAGTGTTCCTGTCCCCTTCCTCAAACCACTGCACACTAGCTTTTTGTCTCCAGAACACTTCTTCAAAGTGTAAATAAACCTTCAGCTCTGCATAAGCCTTCTGAAGAATACTTCTATTAGCGGGTGATGGATCGTCAAGAAATAGTTGCTTCTTCAATTTCACAATCTCTTCTCTAATTGCTAATTGTTAAAAAATATCCCCAAATTTTTCTTTACTCCACTTGGCTAAAGCCTTCTTGGTCCTCTTCTGTTTCTGCTTAAGCTGTACAAAAATATCATCTGAACTCTCAGCCACCCAGTTCTGCTCCACCACTTCTTTAAAATCCTCTCTTTCAGTCCAAAACTTGAGAAACCTAAAAGGTTTGACAATAGTACCTTTACTGGCTCCACAAGTAAGCAGGAGTGGGGCATGATCAGACCCAGTCCTAGCCAAATGTTGTACCCATGAATTGCCATATGAATCCAGAAATAATTATTCACCACTACCCTATCCAATCTCTTAAAAATGCATTCCCCATCTACCCTACCATTCCACCAGGTGAAAGGGTTTCCTGAGAAAGTAATATCAGCCAAACCACTTGCATTTAAACATTCAGCAAAATCTTCATACTCCTGGGGATATACTGGTAAACCACCAATCTTTTCTTCTTCACGCAATATCACATTAAAATCACCCCCGATCATCCAGGGGACAACATATTCTTGGCTTATTGTGAATATCTCATCCCAGAGAGAAAGTCTCTCAATAGCAGAACATTTTGCATATACAACAGATACCAAAAGTTGCTCCCCATTTTCCAGAGTGAGTTGTAAAGTTAACTGTTGCTCCGAGTCAGCTATAACTCCTACATGAACGTGTTGCTTCACAAACACCCAAATTTGACCATTCACATTGTAGTTGACGTAGTGCATCCCCAATCTTCTTTTGTATCTCTGAATATGCCTAGAATTTTGAAATGGCTCCATTAATGCCCTCAACAAAAACTTATGATGTTTGTGGAGCATTTGAACTCTGTGAAATGCTTGTAGAGTATTAACAGACCTAATATTCCAAAATAAAGCTTTGTACTTCATTTAGAAACTATTTTGGCAACCTTCCTAGCTTGAACCCTTGTAGGCAAAATACAATTACTGTCTCCTTTAACTTTACCTTTTCTTCCTTTTGTGCATAACTTATGTGATAAGCCTGCCCCTTTGCATACTTGAACCAAGTTAGAGTCATTTTCCCCCTCTTCAATATCTTTTAGGTATTCACCGTCTCCTACTTCATGCTCTTGATTTTCCTTATTTTGGTCTTTGGTTTGTAGTTGCTCCACCTTATGAGACACCAAAGCATGCAGAGCTTCCATTGGTGTTGATTTGCTAGTATTGAAATTTGTAATACTTGCATTTGTGCACTCTTGCACCTCTTAGTTCTGCTGGAATTGGATCTGCACCTCACCTTCCGCCACCATCTGCAAAGGTTCCTAGTATGTTGCCATTTTCATGTCTTATACAGATACAATTGCTTTCATTTCACCCTCCAGCATATTACTTGTATCTTCAGTTTGTTCTTCCCCTAATTGCTCACTATTTCGATCACTTGCAGGTGCATCATCACAGGCAGTCCCTACTCCAGTAACAGCCTTCACAACTGCATCATATACTACTACTGCTCCTCTATCTATTTGTTGTACCACATTCTGCACTAGTGTTCCACACTCCTCTACCATTTGCCCTGAATACTCTTTCACTTTTATGTCCATGCTATTATTATTGTTATTGGTTTGTTTCTCTTGTTGTGCAAATACCTCTGTGACCCATTCCTTGCTTGATGCATGCTGATGAAAGTTGTCATCTATAAGCGTATGATTGGTTTTTTCTATTCCTTTTACCCTGCCATTAGTCGATAGATTGTCACTTTGTTGTTCACTATTTGCATCTTCATCGTTAAGAGCTGCAAAAGAGTTGCCAATTCTCATCGCTGTATCATCTTTTTGGTGTTCACTTTGCTTTTTCCTTGAGATAAATTTGTTTGTAGGGTGCCATTTTTTGAGTTGTTTTCCTACACGAATCACAGGTGTTCCAGTTGCCTCCAGTGAGTCGATAGTGTCCTGCCTCTCCTCCTCTTCATCTACTGCTACTTTGAGTTCAGGATGTAATACTCTACATTCCATCTCTGCATGACCTTGTAACTTGCATGTTTGACAATACTTTGGCAGCAAGTCATATTGTATCTTAACCTTCTCAACTCTTGATGTATCTGTATCCTCATTTCTCACCTCTAGTTCTATGACTTTAGGGAGATCTGCTAATAAATCCACTTGTACCTTCACCCTTGCACAACTAGGTCGAGTTTTATTTATTGTAGCTACATCAAGGAGTAATGGTTTCCCTACTACTGAGGCGAGAGAAAAAATGGATTCCTTTACAAACAAAGTGGGTCTTAATTTCGGAAAGGAGATCCATGCCATTGCTTGAGTGGTTTCCTCTTCTGCATTAAATTTTGCATCATAAATAAGAGGTCGCATCATATATGAATATCCATCCTTGGATAATATATAATACGCTGGCTTAGACATCATATTGATGAAATCTTCCTCTCTAGTGAATCTTATAAGAATGTCTTTTTCGTAGTAACCCGATTTTACAATCCCCCTTAACATTGCATTGCTTAGGAATTTGTATGCGCAATTCATCCAAATCAGGCCAACCATACGAAAACTTCCCACAACTGCGTATTGCAGATTTTCTATAATGTTCATCCTATCGACTTCTTTTTCGGTCCAGACTATCCTTGGAACCCCATTGTTATAGGATACTTGTTTGACCAGAATTGGTTCCACTGCTGGCATAATGGTATTTTTCTCCTTATCACTTTTAAGCATATTAGCATATACTGGGACAAAATTATTTCCGTCATTCAAATTACCATGTGATTTCCCATCATTTGATGGTGCTGCCTTTGTATGGCGTAGTATGGGAAATGCAGAATCATTGTATAACTCTAATACCGGTCCAGCACTCAACGGCTGGCCGGTGGCCATAATCCTATCGGAAATCGGAGCTAGGGTTTGAAAGATCCTAATATTTCGGAGCTCTTTGTTGTTGAGTTGTGGAAAGATGATTTCTATAGACATTTTTAGTAATAACTTTACATAACTTTATATTGTTCTCCTATATTCAACAATATACATGGCTTTGCAATTTAACACAATTTCAGAAATTATATCCAAATCAATGCATTGGAACTTGAAAGTTCGTTGATTTGCAGTTGTATATAATTTATTACTCCATTTAAAAGGAGGTGTACTTTCTTTGTTTCTTTTCATTAAATTTATTAAAATTTGCTTGGGTTAGATTATTTTATTTTTTTATTACTTGAAAGAGGTGTATTTGTTTTTAGTTTAGGCTTTTCTTATCAATGCTAGAAGACTATATGCTTGGGATGAAAGTACCTATACTTGCAGTATTTTGAAAAATAATATTATAAAACTGTATTTTGTAATGAAAGTGCCTATACTTGCAGTATTTTGAAAAATAATATTATAAAACTGTATTTTGTAATGAAAGTGCCTATACTTGCAGTATTTTGAAAAAATAAATATTATAAAACTGTAATTCATAACAAAAAAAAAAAGACACATGAAATTGCAGTTAATTATTTTAAGATTAGTGGGGATAGTTTTAAATTTGTATAAATATTATTATCTTTTTAATTTTTAGTTATGTTAAAATACAGTAATGAATTCCTAAAATATAGGTAATCGATTAAGAATTTTCTTCTTTCTTTTCAAAATTTCATAATTCAAATATCTTTAATTTATAAATTCAAACTAAACGAAAAACCAATAAAAAAAACTGACAATTGAAATTTAACAAAAAAAAAAGGTAATGCAATAGAAACCTTCAATTGACAGAAAACACACAAGTTTAATATAAAAAATATAAAAAAAACAACATACCAATTAACAATTTATTTTCATTTTAATTTATATATAATTTTAAGGAAGTTCTCAATATTTTATACTTTAATTCATTGAAGTTTATTTTAATTGCATAGAAAATTTATATTATAAATGCATGTTTGAAACATAAAACCTATTATTATTACTTATGTGTTATATAAAATTAATTTATTAACTATTAAAAATGTAATTAAAAAACAAATATGCGTGAAAACAAAATCGATTTCGGATTATTTGCTTATGCATAATTATATATTTTAATCTGATCTTAATTATTATTAGTTTAAAAGTTCCTACACACACACATGAAGAATACCACAAAGAGAAAGTGTACCTAATAAAAATGTGATTTTGGTAATTGGTACATGTTTTCTTAAACCTCCCATAAGACCCATATTCTGGCTTTTAGCTGGAGAATATCCAACAATAGTTTCCATTGAATGAATAATAGATCCGGATCCTAAAAATAATAATGCTTTGGAATAAGCATGAGTAATCAAATGAAATAAAGCGCTTCGATAAGACCCCATACCTAGAGCTAACATCATATAACCCAATTGAGACATTGTGGAATAGGCTAAACCTCTCTTAATGTCTTTTTGAGCAAGAGCTAAAGTAGCTCCTAATAATACTGTTATTATTCCTATAACCGAGATCAAATACAT